ATGAGATGCCGCAATTGGCTAAAATGATGCACCTGCTTAAGTGTTCTGCTAGGAAAGAGTTTTTGTAAATTTAAACTTAGGTGTAAGTTTAAGTGAATTTGGTGATGAATGCAATGCAAACCTGCTTGGGCTGGGATTCATTAAATAAATGGGAGGTGCTGCTGAGAGAAGCAGAGGTCCAGCCATGGAGAAGGGAAATGAGCCAGAGTGCTGAGCACTGGCAGGAATCAGTTCTTACACCCAGGGAGCAGCTAAAATGGTCACATTACACTCCTGTCAGTGGCTTTTTGACCTCTGTCAAAATGTTTCTTATTCAACCACATCAGCAACAAAAGACAAAATAGAAGCTGCTATAAGTGCTGCCAAAGCACAGGATCCTAATAAATGCAGAATCCTAATACATGCAGAATGACTAGAAAGCATTTTCTGGTCTCTAGAAAGTGGCAAATAACTTACAAATATTTGCAAAGGAAAATAATTGACCCTGAGATTGGCTCAGTTGGTCAGAGCATGGTGTTAATAATGCCAAGACTGTGGATTTGATCCAACCATGGGCCATTCACTTAAGATTGCACCTTGGGAGTTCAACTCAGAACATTCTGAGTTCTGTGAATCAATTCAGGAGTTCCTTTTCAGTCACCTACCAGAACAGTACTTCAGGAAGGCAAAGGACAGGCTGCTCCCTGGAAACGTAAAACTTTCCAAAGGTATCAAGATAGCAGGCAGGGAGCTGGGATTAAAGGAACATGCAGAATTCCAGAGTCTCTGGTGGAGAGCGGCGCTCTGAAGCTCCGAGGATGTTTTTGCAGAGCAGCAAACAGGGTGAGGTAATTGTTGCTGCTTCCTGATGCAGGATCTGAGGAGTGGAAGCTGCTGGCTCTGACACCTCAGCTCAGCTCTGCCAGCACCTCCTTTTCCCTCTGCACAGACAAAACCCCAGCACAGCTCTCCTGGGGAACCTGCAGGCACCAAAACCCCTTTACACAGCTCCCGAGGAGCTTGGATGCAGAGCTGCTCACAGCTACTCCTTCACACATTCCTGATGGATTTTCCCAAACTCAGGAAGACCCGGTCAGAAATAACTCACAGCCAGCTGAAGGCTCAGTGTTTGCTGTTAAATGAACCATCTTTCTCTCCTGCCACGCCAGATCCACCAGGCTCTAAATGTGGGAGGTGCTGAAATAAATCCTGAAGGAATTTACGTGCCAGTAAGTAGGAGCTTTCAGTCTGTGCCACACTCAGGGATAGCTGCAGTTTTACAGACATCAAAAAGAGCTCTGGCACATTTTTAAGCTTTCAGAGTGGAATTCTGCAGGATCTTTGCCCAGCTGTTAAATAGTCTGTTAGGAAGAACACTTCTGAGGACACTAAAAGGCCCCCTGGACATTTGATTTTTACTGCTGTACACTGCAGCACCCAGGAGATAAGGGGAGGATTCCTGGGGATTAAACAGGACACGTCTACGTGAAGGAGCACACGAGGGTGAGGGCTGTTACACAAGCAATGGCAGAAGGAAATGATCACAGGAGCACAGCTCTGCTTTCCCTGGCCTCAATGATTTATGTCAAGTGCCTTGGTTAGAGCTGTCAGTGCTCAGAACACCACAGGATTTTAGTTATTTTTGATTGTAGGCTCTCAAGCATCTTTCTGTAAAATCCAAATCAGGACACCAGGAGAGACAGAATTCTGAAAATGCGAGTTTGAAAAGCAGGAAGGGCAAACAGAATGTATCCAGGCAATTCTGGCACGGGCTGTGGGGGTGAGGCTGTGTTTGCTCCCACATGCCTCTGTTGCTGTTCCTTGTGGGCTGGGTAAAAGCAGACCTCAAACAATGGCATTTCATAATGTGTGCACAAAGGTTGGTGCTGTCTCCAAAGTGCTCAAAGCCGCCACAGGAAGGACAGCAAGGCACAGCCCTGCTGTGTGTGACAGCACCATCCCAGCATTTGCCTGCTCATGTCCAGCATGCAGGGAGATGGAAAGGTTTGCAAGAAAACACACAGCCATCACTTCAATTATTTTTTTTCTAGAGGCTGGAGATTTTGGCAAGAAAATGAAAATCATCAGCCAAGAACTGGAAACCTCCCAGAACTGTAACCATTATAGTTGAAGTTATAGCTGTGTTTTAGAACTGCCCATATAAAGCCAGGATATTTAGTGATCTTTATTATAGCCACTAAAAAGTCATGATTTTAAACATTTATCTTTAATGCCTGACAGATCTAGCTATTCAAAAGCTGAGGTGAAGCATCTGGATTGATCACAGAAAGTTTATTCATAGGATTTCTGTTGGGGAGGAGCTCACAGCACCAACCAGAGACAGATGAATTCAGAAAATTCATGTGGAGACACACAGCTCCAGCAAGAAAGCAAAATCTCAGCTGTAAATGAAAAGTCATAAATCATTCCAAAATGTACACCTGCAGTCTCTAATTCCCACATGGAGTAAGCCAAATCTGAAACCATTCTGAGTTCCCTGAACTCTGACAGCTTGGGTAAAATAGTACAAAAATAAAAATCACACTTCATTTTGGTTAAAAACCACAAGTCCTACACTTTGAAAATAAAGTGTAGCTGTGAGTATAACTACACTGAGGGCAATGTACACACACAGCTGTTTGATCTGCTCCAAGGAAGTCTCTAAAAGAGACGAGTTAAAGGTCTGTGAATGACAAGTTAATAATTCCTCAGAGTTATTTTCCGATCAGTCAGGAATTATTCAGGCCCAAGATTTGCTCAGCACCAGAAGCAGGTGGGTTTTCCTGCAGCTCCATGTTACCATAACAATACAGCAGAGCCAATTAAAAGCCAATTAGTCATGGGCATTACTTTGAGGTCCAGTACTTTGCAAACTCTCCCCTCTGCAGTGCTGCTGCCCATTATGCTGGGGACAAAGGCTCTGGGATGAATGGGGGCTGTTTCCCTGTCTCCATGGAAGCCTTGCCACGCTCACCCCACACAAACCTTCCCAGGCACCTCCAGCGCCGCTTCCCCCTCTGATCTTTGCCCCAAACAAATGTGCTGTTTATTCACTCTGCTTCTCATTTATGGAGACCCATTTGATGCTGTATGAATAGCAATGAGGAAAGAATTAAACCTGTGTTTGAGAAGCTTCCAGCTCCTCCTTGAATCCCCTTCACCCACACCTGCTGGAAGAGATTTCCATGATACTTGAAAATTGTCCAAGTTTTACCTTAAGATCTTAACCACTGCAATAAATATGCACTGAAATATCAGCATCTGTGTTATGTGAACCTACTCTAGAATTTGAAACCCAAGCAATCTAAATTATAGTGCAGCTCAAAACTGAAAACAGTCTGCTCTGCACCAACTATGGTGCTCAAGAAATTGTAAAGAATTCCTGTAGAGTACCAGAAAATCAGCACATTGCAGGAAAGTAAAATGCAGTATCCCTATGAAGGGAATATCCCCCAGCTGCTGTCCAGAACTCTGAAGCTCTGTGATACTTCTCAGAGCCACCACTCTGAATATCCAGGCTTTACAGTGCATTTTATTTGTGCACCACTCCAGAATTATTTTTTCCAGAACTGATGACTGTCCAGGCTCCTTTCTGGGGATTGCTGTTCCCTTGGCTTTATGGGAAATCCAGTTGTTGCTGAGCTGAATAACACCATGAATTGCAAATGAAGTTGTTAGTTTTTAATGCAGTCAGCTCTGCTCAAGGGGGTAGAGCAGGTGCTGGCTTCTCAGCAAGGTTGAGCTCAGCTTCTCCCCTACAGCTGTTTACAAACAGCGACTTCTGTGGTTAAATTCATGATCTTGTTTACTCCTTGCAGTTTACAGGCAATAAGGGAGCTACCATTGGTGTGGCTCCTCAGGAGCAGCTGAGTTAAACAAAAGCTCTGCAATTCTGGTGGCCAGCGTGGCCTCAGCTGCTCTGTCCCTGCAGCCAAAGGCCCCTCCCAGCTGCAGCTGGATCTGCTGGCAGGAAGCACAAGATTTGTACAGAAAGCTCACGTTATACAGCTTGTGTCAGCAGGACCCACCTGCTGAGTGGTTTAGCTCTCATTTTTGCTATTTAATGTGTTAAATAAAGGAAATATTCAATATTCACCAGACCAAAACTAACCTACAGAAGAATTTTGAGGGAATTTGCCACCTTTGAGGACTCCTATTCCTCAGTTACATTATTTGATCTGTGTCCCATCCCTTGGAAGCCGTTCCTTTAAAACACACAAGTGTGATGTCCTCTCAGACAAAGACAATCCCAAAGGAGGCTGTCAGCAATGCTGACACCCATTCTGAGATACTGCTCACCTGCAAGTCCCTGATTTCCAGGTGTGCCACCATTCCTGGATCATTCTTTTTGACTGCTCAGGCTCTGACTCTGCTTCATCCCAGCGCTCACAAGACATGGATCCAGATCCCTGACATGTCTCAGCCCACGGGACTGGGTGCAGGTACCTGTGGTTACAGTGACTACTCCACAGATGTTTCCTAGAGGTCTTTGACCTGACCTAAACGTTACAGGCACTGTTCAGGTCTTCTTATCACAGGACAGCTGAAATCCACCTTCCTCTGGTTGTCTCAGGACCTCAGGCAGCCCTTGGGGTCGATGGCCCCGTTCTTCAGCCAGTCCCAGCAGCTGCATCCCACCAAAGCCATCTTGGTGTTCCAAATTTCCTGCACACCAACCTCACTCTGGTGTGGAAGAGGTTTTACAGTGACCTCTGTGAGCCATCAAGAAGTTTGGTAACAGGATCCATGTTTACCCCTGAAAGAATTTTCTACCAAGGTCATTGACATAGAAAACAAGAAAGAAAGAAGGATAAATAAGAGAAACCTGCAACTGCCTATTCCAATGAGCATTTTGCTTTTCTTTTGTGACCAGTGAGTAAAGTGTAAGCTTAAGAGCTTTGTAAGAATGTAGAAAAGGCATGCAGGCTAGAATAAAAACAGGGTTTGAAGACTTCTGGAAATGCAGTGTGTTGCTTTGCAGTGTCTCTGTCTCATCTACAACCCTCTGGCCTCTTCTGCAGGTGGGAAGTGGAGCGATGCCAGCTTGCCCAGCAGAGCAGCCCCCAGAAGCAGCAGCAGCAGCAGGAGGAGGGAGCAGCCGTGCCCGTGGCACCGCCGGGCACCGCCGGGCACGGTACTGACCCAGCCCCACAGCCAGCCCCACACACTCCTGGCCTCTCTCATCTCCAGTGCCAGCAGCAGCAAAACTACCAGAGAGGTTAAACCACCGTACCACAAACCTGTCCTAGAGAGTCTTGAAATCCCAGACCTACCCAAAGCCTTATAGCCCACATTTCCACTCCTCGCTCCCCACGTAAATCTGTGTTTAATGAAAGACTGAACTTATCACTTAGAGCTGTGATTTAAAACTGCTTTTTTCCACATGAGTCATCCCACCAAAACTTTTTTTTTCCTGGCTTAAAAAGTATAAAGATTTCATTTCTTTGTAAATAAAAACGCAGAACCTCAGCAAAAATAATTTCCAAGGAAACAATTTGCAGTTAATACTCTGCACAGCCACGCTCCTTGGAAACATCCTGGCTGCTCCAGTGACTCTGGACAAGCCCAAACTGTTTAGCACATGTAGCACCAACAGTTGCCATAACACTGCACGCTTTGGCTTCCCTGCAGTGGTTTGTTTTTTTGGGCACATGCAGTTCAAAGACCACAAAAGCACTTATCTGACAGTAATTCTGAGTTACAAGGCACCTTTACTGCAGGCTGGAGAGCTGTTTGTTGTGACAAAAAATTGGATTTTAGGTGTGTGTTGAGTGGAGCTGGCAAGCAGCTGCTTGGGAATGTGAAAAATAGTGACAAGTAAATACAATTAACATTGTAGCATCTTCTCCTCGTTAGACTTAGAAAGCAAACCTGCTTTTACAAATGTTTCTATCAAATCACACGCTTCGCCAGCTCAGAGTTTCCACATAAAATTACACTATTTCAAGAACAAACAGCTTTTTAGCAAAATATTTTCATACAAATAAATCATGGGGTCATATATTCTGAAGCAGAAGAAAGTGTTCCATCAAGTAAAATAGGATTAGTTAGGCAGAAAAACTAACTCAGAGAGATGAACAAGTAAAAAAACTGTGTTCTTGAACAGAAATTGAAGGATACAACAACTGATCATTCACATTTATCCTTACCTTAAGGAAAGAAAGGAGTTGAGGTAAACAGCTCCAAGTTACCCACAAGAGAGCACTGAAATGTTCAAGCCTCTCACAATAGGATCTTGGCTGCAGCTGCCTGTAGTGGTTTTGCATCACTTCTGCAAATGCCTCCTGTGCAAAACCCACTGCCCCAGCCCCTTCCCAGGGATGCTGGGGACCTGCCGGGGTTTCTCTGGGGGTTTGGGCTCCCACCTCGTTCTGGCCCAGACTGGGGGTGTAGCTGGGCTTGCTGGGGTGCTGCTGAGGGCTGCCTGTCTCCCAGCAGAGGAGCAGCTCTTCCGCTCCGTGGAGGGCCAGGCGGCCTCGGACGAGGAGGAGGAGAAGGGGCCCGGGGACCAGGCTCCCCAGCTGAAGGACATCCTGGCCAAGCTCCCTTGCTGTGGCAGTGGGTAAGTTTAATTCGTTAATTAATGCCATTTGAGCCCTTTGCATCGATCATTTCACAACCTGTGGCTGCAGTCAGAAGCCTTTTGCCCGTCCTGTGTGGCACATGGGGAGCAGCCTGCTGGAGATTCCCACCGAGCCCTCATTAGTGTCAGACACTCATCTGTGACCCGTGCTGCCAAGAATTCCACAGGAAAACTGGATTTAACAAACACAGACCTCTATTGTGAAGTCTCACTAACTCTTTTCTCTTAATGATGTGTGTAGATGTGATGAAAAGACCTGGAGAAAGCTGCTGTCCTACCTGGAGACCAGCAGCAGTGACGGGAAGGACCCTGTGGAGCCCTTGGGGAGAATCTGCCCCCTCACAGGGCAGCCAGAACTCAAGGGCCACCAAGAGAAAAAACTGGAAGCAAGCATGGAAGAGGTAAGAGGTGCCAAGGAGAGTGTGAAAGAGTTGTTTATGCACCTTTGGGGAGCTTCGTCTATGTGTGTTTGTATTTTATTCTGGCCATTCTGCTCTCTGTTGCTGATGCTTCTCGTTGTGCTGTAGTTTGTCAGCTCACACATCTCCTGCTTTCCTCCAACACCTGCATTTCTACTCTGTTTCCTACCCAAATCTACCTTTGGAAGATGAGAGGTACCCCAGGCCCTTCAAATACTGTCCTTGATTTACTGAGGTTCTCCAGCTGTGGATGAAGCACTCCCCATATCCTAAGGCATCCAACACCTCTGGGAGCAGAATAACTTTCAATAAATCTCTCAGGCTAGCTGAGACTCCCTGTTTTGCAGTAAATTATCCCATTTACTCTTTTTCTTGGGCTTAGACAGACATATTTATATCATAAATACAATATATCAATCTAATATATCAATAATATAATAAAATATGAATAAAATTAGTTCTCAGGTTAGCAGCATGTCCAGCTACCCTTGAGCAGAGGTTATAACCACATTATTTAAAGCCCCAGTACTGTATCCCAGCAGTCCTTGTGAGCTCACTATTTAAATTCTGCAGAGTTCAGCCCCTGATGGGCACAGAAGTGCCAGCAATCCTTCTATGAAAAAAAAATAGTGCATTGCCCTCATCTGCTTTCTCCTGTGCTTGTTCAGTATTTTATACCCCATCTTTAAACAGAGCAGAAAGATTTCAGTGGTTCTGGAAGGATTATGTGAATCAGTGAAATATTTAAAGTGAGGGTATTCAGCTTCTTCATATGTTGCCATCCTTTGTGTTTTAACAGTGTTTCATATAATTTTCTCCCTTGAGTAAATTAAATGAAAGAGTTTACTTATTAGGCGAACAAAATAAAAGCAGAATAAAATCCTGTTTCTGCCTTACACAATTTGCAGCATTCAATGGCAATTTATCCTTGCAATGTTCTCTAGAGAAATATGAAAATTCCTTCTCTACTGCTTAGCATCAGTCTACAGGGGAAGAAAATACCTGCAGGTAGTGCCAGTTTTCTTCTCCTTTTTTTCCTGTTCTGAGGTGCTCATCTTCTTTTGCAGCACCATACTGCCCCCTTTTTCATCTCTGCTGATGGATATTAGTTCTGTGCAGCTTGTCTGGAAAAGCACCATTATCAACAGATTAATACAAAATTCCAGAAGAAAAATGTTGCTTTAGAGGCAAGCAGGGAGGTGAAGAAGACATCGTGCCAACTCACTGTGACATAAATTAAATAGCAGTGGGATGAATCATGTTGAGCCTGTTAGGAGATTTATTCTTAAGCCCTTTTATATTAGCCAGCAGTTATAGGGGAGGAATTTGCTGCTACAAAACAGACAAGTAGCAAAAAATTCCTGTCAAAAAGGTGACTCTCCTTGTAATCAACACAAAGCAAATAGGAAGACTGAGAAATTCTCTCTCTCGAGCACCTTGCAAATAAATATATTGGCTTAATAAATAAACCACCAAGACTTTCTCTGAGGCTGACAAAAGTGCCTTACACATGCCTGTATATGCTTCTGTTTGTACCTGCTCAGTGTGGAAAATCAGACAAATAACAAGGCTAACAAGCAAGAGCCTCAGCATGCATGTGAAGGGCAGCACTCTCAAATACTGATTAATAATTGCTGCAGCCTGAGGCTTGTAAAACCAGAGTTTGAGAGAGTTCTGAGATTTGTCATGTCTAGAAAGTTCTACTTTCCAACAGGCAAACACTTATAAATAGCTCCTCCTGAAGACAGGGTGGTGACCTGGGGGTGATAGATGGGGAGAACATGAGTAAAGTCTAAAAATAAAGTGTTATGGTGCTGAGTGTAGTGTTACAAAGAAATGCCAATTATTTTCTATATGAGCTTGCATGCAAGCTGCCAGCTTAATTAAAAAGGCAATTAGTTTATGAACAGCCATGCAGGGTCAAAAGAAAAGTTAATCCCAACATCTGGAGAAAAGCAAGGAGAAACAGTGGAGAGGTTGTTGCTCTTGGTGTTCCTCACCTGGTTCCCACTGCACCAGGGACAGAGAGATCTTCCTGTCTCACTGAATGAACAGATTATTGCTAGGTAGGAGCTGCAAGACAGAGATGATTGTGCTGAGGGCACACAAATTAGTTTTGCTCTATAGAGGACAACAAGAATGCAAAAGGGGAGAAGGCTGACATAGCAATGCTAGCATTTAAGTATAAAATATATAATAAATGTAATATTTAAAATTCCTGAATGAGCTGCCTGCACTACAGTGATGAATGAACTTCCATTGTGCACAAGAGCAAAGCTCTGATTTCCTAACAAACCCTGATATCTCTTTATGTAGCACATTAATGAAATGGACTTCCCTTCAAGGGAATCTTCTGGAGTGAGCCCCATTGACCACAAAAGGGGGGAAACTCAGCTTTGCAATCCTTGGGCAAGAAAAGAAAAGCTCCAGTGCCTTCAGTTTGCTGTGTTTTGTGCAGATGAAAGGCCCCTGGCTCGGGGAGCTGCAGCAGAAGGTGGAGGAGGCAGAAGTGCTGAAGATGGAGCTGCAGATGCTGGAGACAGAGAGGGTTCGGCTGTCCCTGGTGGAAGAGAAGCTCCTGGATGTTCTGCAGCTTCTCCAACAACTCCGAGACTTGGTATGGTGAGAAAGCAGTCCTGGAATGAAAACTGGGGTTTGTAGTCCCTTCCAAACTGAGAATATGTTCATCTCTTCTGAGAAGCACAAAATCCTTTACAGCAGGACAGGATTTTACAGGTGTGTGCCCTGGGAACTGCCTGGTGATTGCAGAAAGCTTTCAGACCCCTTTGTCTGGCTTTCTAAAAGCCTAGAGGTCTCCTTGGAGCTGCATCTTCAAGCTCATTACCCTCTAAACCAAAATTGAGGGCAAACAAGGAAAACAGAGGAGTGAGCAATCAGGAAGATTCCAGAACATGTATTTTTCCTTCTAGAACAGGACCTTTGTTTAACTGCATGCTAGTGTAACTCTGAGTCAGCATTAAAGAGATAAAACTGCCAGGGGAGTTTAACAAGAATCCCCTAAATCCCTGATGGGATATACCCAAGACAAAAGAGACCTTACCCATCAGAACCTGTGGGTTTAGGTGTCACCTCCCCAGCACATTCACCCTCATGTCTGAAATATCTCATTGCAACAGAACCTTCCACCGAGCGGTGACTGCCCAAAGGCACACACACATCCTGTCAGGACTAATCAAACCTCACACAGTGCTGCTGAAAGCCTCACACTGCTTCCCACTCTGCCCCAGTCCCCACTGGGGCAGCCAAGCAGATGGAAGAGGCTCCAGGCAGGGAGCAGGGCCGGCTCTGCCTGGAGGTAACAGCATCTTCCCCCAGAATTGCTCCCTTCCACTCCCACTTCTTGAAGTTTTAGCAAGAACAACCTGTCCCTGCAGATACTCAGGGCTAATTAAACTGATTGCAAGACCATCTCCCAGAAAGCACACCAGTGTCTTGACAGAAAATGAGGACAGTTTGCTTTCCCAGGCACAATTATGTAATGTCCCACCAGATTTCATACGTAAAACCACCACTGAGAGAGACCATCCAAATCCTGAGTAGTTTTTACAGTGCTCTCACTTTGGCTAATGTTTATTACATCTCAGATCCAGCCCTGCCACGGGACATTTGCTCTGTCCTTCAGCTGGGTCTGAGAAGACCCTTCCTAAAATAACACCACAAGGTCCAGTTCACCTTCCCACAGACCTGGCTGAGAACAAAGAGGTTTTGTTCTGCTTACCCTCCTTGCCACCTACAGTTGTTTAGGCACAAGCTCTAGAAAATTCTGTATTTCCTGCTGAATAATTTTTATTTCTCTTTCCACAGCCATATTAAGGAATTAGAACCCCCCCTACAAACTGTCTGAGCAGGGTCTAAAATCAAATGCTTGAAAATAAAGCAAACATCAAGTCTTGTGTTAATCAGGATTCAGTGTCATTTTGGTTTAGTTTCCAAATGCAAATACCCTGCACACAGGTTATGTGCACGTCTGTAAACTGGTGAAGGACACATTTGTGTCATAATTTTGTTTTGTTTTTTAAAGAACATATCAAAGCGAGCCCTGGGGAAAATCCTGCTGAGCACTTTGGAATCCTGCCGTGACCCCCAGCCTGGTAAGAAATCACATCTAAAGACCAAGAAGCATGAAAAGTGTCCTTCTGAGACAAACACTGGGTAGGAAAAGGATATTTCAGATCCTGGGTACAGGCTGGAGAGAAGGAGGTAGTTTGCAAGAAGAATACCTATAGAAAGGGATGCTTTCTAATCCGTGGTGCATCAAAACCACACCAAGGGTGTTTTTTTAGTTAAATTTTAATTAAAATTTGGCCTTTGGGGGATAATTCAGTATCCTACAAATGTTTTTAGGGTTTTATTGATAGGAGAAAGTGGAGAAATGACCAAATATGTAATGCAGCTGTTTCTCAGGATTGCTAGCCCAGTGTTTGGTGTTCCTCTCTGCAACACAAGATTTACCCATCAGAACAGTTCTCTGCAGAAACCAGCTCAAACCTGGACTCCTCTAAACTTGCAAGCTCCTGTCCCTGTCCATGGTCCGGAGCTGCCTTTGCAGGAGCCGCGCAGGGATCACGACCTCGGGGTTTTGCTTTGATTGCTTTGTTCTATTAGCAGAGCATTTGTGCTCCCCTCCAAGGAATGAACATCCTGTCCCAGGAACATGGCTCCAGGGGCTTTAATAGGCAGGCAGCAGTCAAAGACTACATTAGAAAAGACCAGATGTGGCCTGGGGGCTCAGTTTGGAGAGTATTATTTACAGGGATTTAGGGAGAACAGCACGGGAACCTTTGGGGTTTGCAGTTTCAAAGGCTGTTTTTCCTTGTGCCCTGCAATCCAGGGCACAGGCAGCCCAGAGCCAAGCTGAGCTCTTCAGCTGCAGAGGAAGCAGAGAAAAGAGGGCAAAACCAGACTTTTGTAGGCTCCAGGAGACACCAGTACAGAGAGAAAGCCCAGCTGAACCATGGGTTTGATGTTCTCCTGGGAGAACAGATGAGAAGACTTTTTGGATCCACAGCACAGTGTCCAGAAGGTGCTGCCAATTATCCTGCACAGGGACACCCGAGGTGTGGGAATTGGAAAAATAGAAACTTCCACAGATACTGAAGGGTTTGATTTGCAACCTTAGAAGGAGTTTGGATTGATGTAAAAATACAATATACAGATATTAAGCAGAAAAATAATGAACTCTTGTTTCTATAGTTGTAAGAATATGCTTTAAATAAGTAAGGAACTACACTGATAAGATGGTGAAGGGTTTGTAGTGTAGGGGTGGGGTTGTGTGGAGTGAGCTGAGAGTTCAGAAGTTCTAACAGAAGCAGTTCTGTGCAAGTGAGACAGAAGCCATTGGACAAAAGTATCCGCAGTGCAGCAGAAGTGAGTAAAGGTGATGGGTTAGAAAAGCAAAATCAACCCTGTGCCAGCTGTGCATTGGAAAGTTCTGCAGTGCCTTGTAAGAAAGAACTTGTGACTGCTCTGAGCTATGGCCGAGTGCTTGCTCCTCTAAAATCTCACAGCCCCTGAGACTGATGTTTGTCTGAGCTGTAAATCGTTCTTAGCCTGAAAGAAGTTCCATCCCTTCATTACTAGCAGTGACAATAATACCAAGGGACGCTGCTCAAAGCTCCTCCCTTTGTAAGAGCAGCTCAGCTCCCCAAAACTCCAGCAAGTGCAGCTCTCTGTGCATCCTGCACCACCACTGCCACACACAGCTCATCCTCTCTGCTTCCCACTGTCTGCCTGTGCACCTGGGGAGGCTTCAGCAGCTTTCCCAGTCTTTGTCATCAAACATTTTTCTCTGACAAGCCAAAGTGGGTTGGGTTGGCAATGGTGATATGAAATAATCTGTTCACACAAGTACGTGAGACCTCAGTGGGCAGGGGATGAAGTAAGAGGAAACCAGAGAAGGTAGTTGAACCCTCAGGAGGTTTGCTCGTGGTTCTTTGGACAGGAATTCATTTTATTTGGTCACAAAATTTAGACCTTTTATGATAACCACTTGAAAGGGCACCTATGAAGAAAAGAGCCTGTTATGATTGTGAAACTGCAACTTCCTGACTTTGTTCAAATGCTCATGTTTGCAATTTGCTTTCCCAAGGCAAAGCCCAGCTGCTGGAAGTGCTGGACACCCTTCAGCAGGAGCTGGCAGCCTGTGAACTCCTGCACAAGCAGCCCACGGAGCAGGCCCAGAGCCCACGGTCCCTGTCCAACCCCCTGGTGATCTCCTGCTGAGCCCAGCCAGCCCCAGGACAGCTGCAAGGAGCAAGGATGGGGACATTTGTCCAGCTCAGCCACGCCTGGACTGGCCAGGAGCGAGGAGTGACCCCAGGGAGGAGCAGCAGCCCCGGGCTGGGCACAGCCTGCCTTAGCTGGACTGCAAAGGCCAGCCCTGGGGTGCCCCTGGAGCTGGGCTGGCACCAAACTGTGCCCACCACACCCATCGGACCCACAGGGATTTACAGCCCTGGAAAACTGGGAATGGACTGGCAGCAAACTGTGCCTCACCTGACCCCCAAGGATTTACAGCCCTGGAAAACTGGGAATGGACTGGCAGCAAACTGTGCCTCACCTGACCCCCAAGGATTTACAGCCCTGGAAAACTGGGAATGGACTGGCAGCAAACTGTGCCTCACCTGACCCCCAAGGATTTACAGCCCTGGAAAACTGGGAATGGACTGGCACCAAACCGTGCCCACCACACCCACAGGGATTTAGAGCTCTGGAAAACTGGGACAGGACTGGCACCAAACCCAACTGTGCCCACCAACCCTCACCTGACCCACAGAGATTTACAGCTCTGCAAAACCGGGACTGTGCTGGCACCAAACTGTGCCCACCACACCCACAGGGATTTACAGCCCTGGAAAACTGGGAATGGACTGGCACCAAACTGTGCCTCACCTGACCCACAAGGATTTACAGCCCTGGAAAACTGGGACTGGACTGGCACCAAACCAAACTGTGCCCACCAACCCTCACCTGACCCACAGGGATTTACAGCCCTGGCTGTGCAGGTGCTGGGCACAGTTTGCAGCCTTTGTGGAAGCCCCACTCCAAAGCCAAGGCAGCCTGTGTTATCCCTGGATTTGTTATCCCTTACCCTAGAGGTGACAAACTGAAAGATAAACACACCCAGGAGTGTGTGCCAGCAGTGCAGGTTTAAGGGCTCTGTGTTTCTCACTCAATTACTCACCTTATTTAACTCTGAAGCTAGATTTTTTATTGCTCTGCTGAATTTTATATTTGCAATTATAGAGATGCCTGACAAACTGAATGATAAACACACCCAGGAGTGTGTGCCAGCAGTGCAGGTTTAAGGGCTCTGTATTTCTCACTCAATTACTCACCTTATTTAATCTGAAGCTACATTTTTTATTGCTCTGCTAAATTTTATATTTGCAATTATAGAGATGCTTTAGGAATATGCAGCAGCCTTTCCTGACAACAGTCAGATTTTACATAAGAAGTTACATTTAAGTGCTTGAAGAAGGTCCAAAGCAATCATGTTCCCAGGCTCTCAGGGAAAGGAAGGGCTGAAAAATTCACTTTGCTGTCATTCTGTGTGAGCAAACAACTCGTGCAGTGCACAAGTGAGTTCTAAAGTTTAATTTCCCTCAGTGCAGCTGCAGACACAAAATTAGGCCCCACATGGAGGCCAGTTAATGTAAAGAGCTGGGCCTAATTGTGGTGCCATGGAATGTATTAATCAGCAATAAAATAATTCCTGGGGCAAAAGTAAAAAAAAAAAAATAGGTTTCTTCCAAGGTGCCTTTGCAGTGTCATTCACAGAGGCAGAATTCCTAAAAGAGCCAGTGAGTTTATATTACCGAAAAGATGCCCTGTGGATATTTTAAGAATGTGAAGTGATTTGCCTGAGATAATGCCAGTGATGAAACAAGATCATTCAACTGTACATGTATGAATTTTTCCCAGGAAAAGGTTTTCATATAGGAATAAGGTCCACAATGCAAGCTGGGGAATAAGATTTCCATTCCTTCCCATTCCTTTCCACACTGTGTAGCTCTCACACACCTCCATGGAAAATTGTGGAACCTTTGAGCCACACTGGAAACAAAAATTTGTGTTATTTTAATTTCATTTTAAAGGAGAGGAAAAAAGGTGTTATGCAAGCAATGAAACAAACTCTGTTCAATGGTGTTTTACCTTGTTGGGTTTTTCTGTATTTTGGGGGTTTTTTGTGGTGTAGCAGATGAAGATTTTAAGAATAGATATATATTGTTAATGTACATTTTTCTTAAAGATACATCAGACAGGACATATACACATAGAACAATATTCACACTAAAAAAGAAAACTGTCTCTTAATGCTAAACATATTACTAACAAAATACCAGAGCATAATAAACTATTACTGAGTATATACTGAGGTACATGCTGGGATTGTATCCTACAGAAACAGCTTCTACTTGTGCCACAGGTAAAAATTTAAATGAGCAGAAATCAGACCCCTGCTTGGCTTAATTTGTTTGCTAAAACTCCCTAAAACTATCAGCTTTTGTTTTGTGCAGCTCTCTGACTTTCCCAGGAATACAGCAGAGGTGTAAAGAGGGAAAATGCCAGGAAATTATGAAATGAGCCTGATCTGTGTGTTCAGGGGCAGGATTCTAATGCAGGCACACACCTGGCTCTGGATCCTCCTTTACTGCAGGGCTCTTGCAGCATTTGGATTTGTCACCATCTGGACCCTTTCTCCTGTCCCCATGTCCCCCAAACCTGGCAGTCTGTTTCTCACAGACTTTGCATTTCCTTAGATCCCCCCAAACTCACTTTTAGTTTATTAATTTTCTATTAAACCTGCAAACTGGCCCTAAAAGGAAGCTTGGGTATTTTCTCCCCTGACCTCCACCACAAAGTTTTTGGTTTTTTCCCACAAATTATTTTACTTCATCCTCAATGTCCCTTTCCCTCCCAATGCCCTCCTCACTTCCCATTTGACAACTTTCTCCCTGGGGTAACCTCTGAGGGGTTCACACTTCTAGCACAAATGGCATTTTTCAAGGAAAGTTTCCTCCTCCCATGATTTCTTTTGTTTATAGGAGGCATTAACTATTAGTAAATTAAAGCCCACCTGATCTGTAAAGTTGTCTAATAATTGTCCCATTTATTTTTGAAGCTCTCTCTGGAGTATTTGGCAGTGAGGACTCATCACAGAATTTTGCAGCAGATCAGAGTGGCCTTGTCCAGCCAGAGCTGCTGCAAGGGGTTCAGTGCATCTGTGCACACTTTGGGAGGAAAAACCCTGGGATTCAAACTCCTGCCTTCCATGACACTGTCCTTAATCTGTACATGGAGATGGAAGGAGCTGGGACTAGGAAGAAAGGAGCACTTTTTAAATAAAAATGGAATAAAATGGAATTGCTCAGTGTGAGAGTGACACTAAACCTTCCCTGTGACGTGTGACGTGTGCCTGTGACGTGTGCCATTACCAGTCACAGGGCCTCTCAGAGTTATAATTTCATGGAGTTTAAGACACAGAATCCTTTGGTATTTACACTGTCTGATTTTCTTAATAATTTTATGTATAATTCCCCGAAACACAAATGCTATAGTGTGTTTCCTAGTGTGAAATTAAATTAAAATCATCCTTATGTCCTTAATTACACTTTACTTTCAAAAGACTGGGATTCCAGAGGTCTAGGGTTTCTATTCTGGTTTTTTGTCTCTTCTTTTTGCCTCAGCATGCTGAAATAGCTCAACTGCATTTTGCCTCCTCAACTTCTTTCAAATTACCTCGAGGGTGAAATCATCACAGCCCAAACCTGGACTGAGGTACCCACAGAAGAGCTCAGCTTAGCAGAACAAAACCTCCTTGTTTTATGCAGCTTGCTCACTTCTTCACTTAAAAGAGGAGTCTGAATTACAGCAAAGTTCCCTGAAATCAGACTCACTCCTTAAATGACATTATTTCCTAAAATGCTTTTGTTTTTCTGAACTGTAACCATTTCAGCCTCTGTCTGAAGAATTGCCTGCTCCTAGACTTGATCCCCCACATTTCCAGACTGTAGAACAAAAGAAGAGAAAGAAAAGGCCCAGAGGAATTCTAAAATTCCTAAACTGACATTTTTGGCCCAGTCATCAGCTGGACAGCAAATTCAGTTCATGGCCATTTTTACTCCTGCCAATACAACTGTATTTTTGTTTCATAAAACTCCCAAAACACCAATAGTAGAGTGTCAGAATCAGGAGGAAAGCATTTCCTTAAATTCCCACCTCTGCCAAAACCTGCAGCAAGAACACAGACAGCTGTTTGGGTTTCAGTTCAATAATGAATAAATAATAGGAAAATAGGAAATAAATAATAGGAAATTAGCCAGAATGAACTCTGCATGAGGAGAAGGCTCTGGGGAGAGCTGAGAGCCCCTTACAGGGGGCTCACAGGGAGGCTGGAGGCTGAAGGTTTGGGGTCAGAGGCAAGGGGGATGGCTTTAAGCTGAGAGTGGGGTTAGATGGGATAATGGGAGGAAATTCTTCACTGTAAGGGTGGTGGGGCACTGGAAAAGATTGTCCAGAGAGGTTATGGAGTGTTCCAGGCTGGGCTTGGAGCAACCTGGTTTAGTGGAAGGTGCTCCTGCCATGGCAGGGCCTGGAATGAGGAGAGCTTTAAGGTCCCTTCAACCCAAACCATCCTGTGATTCCATGAATATCCCACAAATTGTCCTGTACTGCTCCTGTGAGCACTGCTCCTCCTCAGGGTGTGACTCCTCCTCAGCCTCACTGCTCCTACTCAACCCTGCAGAGCTCCCTGTGTTCCCTGGGGTGCACAAACCAAATTACATTCTTAATTGCTGGTTTCTGATTCTGCCCCAAAGAGCTGTGAGGTGACTTATCTCTGTCAGGGAGTAAACAAGGACTGTGGGATGACATTGAAAAATTATCAGTATTCAAGTGGTTTCACCCACGTGCGCCCTGCAAGGCAGAAAGTCACGAGAGCTGAGGGTTTGGGTATTAGAGTTTGAGATAATTTCTGTATTTCAAGGTTTTATTGTTTGATAGCCTTGGTTTTGCTGATTGCTTCTCATTGGTTTGTTTTTTTTTCACAGTTACAAGTGGAAAAATGGTCTCCAGCAAAGGGAAGGTCCAGTCTTTTGTGGGGAATTTTCTACCTCTTAAGGTTGCCCAAAACAGATAAAGAAGAAAAGAGAAAATATGTGGAGGCTGATACAATTTGACTTAAAATACAATTTAGATAAAGGATGTTATTTTGAAATAGAGAACATGCAATACCCCTTCTGGGCTGATTGTGGGAGTTAAATCCCTGGCACAGGCAGTGCCAGGCTCTGCAGCTCCAGCAGCAGAGGGGACAGCAGAAGTCAGAGCAGGCTCTAATTGCTTTTGAGCCAACATCTGCCATGCCCAGGGTTGACACACCGTGACTCATCCACCAAGGACTGATGAGCCCCCAAAAACGTCCCCAGCTTTGCAGAGTCATTTCAAAGTCGCTCACAGATGGGCTCAGGTTTTCAAAACCATTTCCTTCTGCCCTGCCAT